CTATCAAAGCTGTGACAACACACAATGTCTTTGAACGCTCTCCAGTTAGACCTTTATTCTGATGTTTATAGACTACTTTTATATGAACAAAAGTTGTAGGTTTTTCATAATCGAGGATTAAGAATTAAATGTATTTTCACTGCCTTGTTGGCCGAGGGGTCGCAAGTGCGACTGCCGGGCAAGGGGTCTCGGGTTCGATTCCCAAGTCGGGCAAAGTATTACTGGGTTTTTGAAAAATTCTCAGTAATAGCACAGAGGCTGGAATTGTGCCCAGTATATGGCAATAGGCTCACCCCCTATTACATGGGACTCATAACATAAATAGTGTAAAGTGGGTGTTACATTGTACAGTGGCATAATGTACACCTCTGCCTACCCCTTCGGGGATAAAAGGCGTGATGTTTTGTATTTTCAGTCAAATACTTATAGCAACATAATTATGATGGCGATCTGATTTGTAGGCAAAACTTAATTTCGAAGATTAAACGTTTCTAAACAGTAATTATACAAGAAATGAGATCACACTCACATCATCTTTCACTAACGAAATAATTGCTACTGCTGTCGACAGCTGCAATTTACATATCATCATAACGACATAATGAAGACAGGTGAGCAGTAATGTCGCAAGGACAACACATTCTAATATTTATTTCAGTTTAGTTGTAATATTAAGGCAATCGACTGCAGATGAGCAAATGTTTTTTGTGCTAATGTTATTCTGATTAGCATAGTTTGTATACATCTAGTCTGTTTATATTTTTGTTGTATGCATCTATGTATTTATCGAGATATGGCAATGAGTTCTATAAAATATAATTTATGTCAGAAATAGATTACTATAGCGCGGCGTGTCGTGGCGCGACACAAGCATATCGGATTGATACATTTACTATGGTTAGTTTCGGTTACATTTGCATGTCGTGTCACGTGGGTCGCCAAATATTTGCAGTCTATTAGTGGCCACTGCGCATTGACACGCTATGACACTGTAGTCCACGACGCGTTATTCATTGTACATAAGCACTCAACTTATTTTTTTTTACTTCTATAATAACATAACATAACATCACACCTTTTATCCCCGAAGAAGTAGACAGAGGTGTACATTATGCCACTGTACAATGTAACACCAACTTTTCACTATTTATGTTGTAAATCCCATGTAATAGGGGGTGAGCCTATTGCCATATACGGGGCACAATTCCAAACTCCGTGTTACTACTGAGAATTTTTAAAAAACCCAGTAATAATATCCTCTAATAATATCTTCTGATTTATATCGTTGTGAGATTCAAGACAGTTATTCATATCCATGTGGGATGCGCCAGTGTTCCAGTGTTGTCATGGTTGTATCTACTGTAGATCCTGATCCTGACTTATAGGAGTAGTGGTTTTGGGAAATTGTGGCGGGCTTATCCCATAAAAAATATAAGTACAACTTGTCAGAATAGATGGGAGCACTTTACTTTTTGGAAAATCAATGAATAGTACTCGTTTTACTATTAAAACTGAACGATTTCTTTATATATTTCTCTATATTATATATTTATCACAAATCTACACACTATATACACTAACTCAACATCCACACACATTACCTATCAGGCACATCGTAATTCTCAGCTATAAACCATATAAGGATAAAGATCGCAGTGATACAGGTAATGACAGATTAGCAGCGATGTATGAATGCCGCGGTTCGGTTCCCAAGCTCGACTTTTACCACGTGGGATCTGACAGCTGGTACAACAATAGTTAGCACGTTACTGGGTCAATATGAAAGGAAATTATTTATTTGTGCTGATTTGTAAATGGCCTGCATTTTTCCTATAGGTATAATATAGATAATAATGAATCCTCATAAGAGGCGATGAGAGGAAGAGTCCCTCCGTGACTCGAAACTTGTATAGCTTTTCTCAGTATATTTACGTGCGTAACTCGTAATTTTTTGTCAATTCAATATGTCTCACGATAGTTATTATAAAGAGTAATAAATGTGATTGAATTTGAAATAAAATTGCTATTGGTTTGTTAGAAGAAAACATTATTTTAACTATTTCAATCATACATTACACTGTGAGCTTAAATAACATAAAACTTCATACTTACTATAAAAAAGTCAAATGAATTTATAAATTCTTAAGATACGTTTTTCTTAATTAAAATTAACTAATATTTATTATGAGGCAAATACAGAAAGAACCAATATTAATTAATACAAATCTCATAATATTTAATTATTTCTTAGATCAAATATTAATCAATTGCCATATTTGTGTAATATGTTAGAAATACTAAACATCACAGATTACCTACAAAACTAGCTTTAATAGGTTTACATTAAAATAAAAAGCTAATCTTATTTAAATACAGTCATTAGTAAACAAATAACAATTTAGATCTGGTAACATTTCATTAATTTCATAAGTGTTGCGTGTTTTGATGTATATGTCAAACATTATGTTGTGATCTACTAAACTGCTTGTCTATTTTACATAATTCTTTCACCGTTAAGAGTTAGTCTTGTGTGGGAGAGCCGGCACGAATGTGCCTGCTCTACCGGAGTGATACCACGGCCTTACAGAAAACCGACGTGAAGCAAAGCTTGCGTTGTGTTTCCGGAGTGAGGTTACAGGAGGCCCAATTACCCTCTCTTTCCCCAATCTCCCCATTTCCTGAATCCCCTACGATCCTCAAACTCCTAATCCCCAAAAGGCCAGTAACGAACTTGTAACGCCTCTGGTGTTCCAAGTGTCCATGGGCAACGCCGATTATTTACCATCAGATGATCCGTCAGCTCGTTTACCGGCGTTTATAAAAAAAATATATTTGTATCACTATGAATAGCGACCATGTTTTTAAATCGTAGCACCTACATGCAAGTCAAGTGATCCATTTCAAGTACCGTTGCATGGTAATCTTCCTAGCAGTGGCAGCTGGCTCTGCCGTTGGAGACGAGTTCTACAGTCGGTCAGGAACACCGGTGCATAGTCAATATAAAAGTTACGATGTCACTTGTATAGGTAATCTGATCGAGGTTTGAGATCTTATAAAATGTTTAATTTATCTTGAATTTATTGTAATAAAACTAACTAGGAAATTTTTATTCATATAATGTGCAATCAAATATTGATTGCTGTATAAGATACTTAATAATTGCACAGGATCTTAGTAAGTTCTTAGGTCACGTTATCATCTCTTATCTGTTTCACGGCATTTAAGCTGAGCTCTGGCCTTTTTGCGCCGTCTTTACTGTATTGTTTATTTTATTTTTTTTTGTTATTGTACCGTGTGACGGTGTGCAAATAAACGATTTTTCTTTCTTTCTTTCTTTTCTTTCTCTGAAAAGGCTGGATCGATTTCGACGTGACTTACTGGTACTTACCAAGTTGATGTACGTTTTCCACGCGGATTAAGTCGCGAGTCCAGGTAATAAATCACCTAACTTCATGGTATTTAATTGGCCAGTTGTGATGACGATACAGTTCATTGACAATCAAAATATTTTTGCAAAGTCGACGGTTTATATATTCAATTCAAGGACGTCTTCTAACACTGATATAAATAAATTTAATCCGTCAAATTACAAAATGATGACGAAGTTGCGAATTTTGAGAACAATTCTATGCATAACTGATGAAGTATTGATTGCTCTGAATTCATCATTATGACAGTTATTGGTACAGATCTGCCTCTACTTATAGTTATATTGAATTCGTCTTGTATGTCAAGGTATCTATAAAAGCTTCAAAATTAATTAATTTTTATGTCTTGCATTGAAATAGGTTGGTACTTATAAATCAATCCAGATTCGAACTTCCTTGAGTGTCTGAAGTTTTTGTGAACAAGCGTTCTACTGAGAGCAAATGGAAAATGATTTACAAATACTGAATAGTGTACTGAATACTGACTACATTGTTCCAAAATCCTAAATTCTAAACTTGATTGTATGCTTCCTTTCTTTACGTCTGAAGTCAATGCCGAAGCAGTGAAATTTGAAGATTCCATTTGTTAAGAACTTAGAAACAATACGTAACAATAATTAAAAACGCCGACGATGCAAAAACTACCTTTAATTAAATCTATCTACATCTCTCAGAATTGACTGCGTACCAAACCATATTCGTCTAACACAAGATGGCTTCTCACGATCAAAAAGCTTTTAAACAAACATGAATATCGATTGCATCACTAATTATAGTAAATAACATTTTAACACAATAGGTGGCACAGTTTAAATAAGATTTATATCTTTACATCCGCCATTGTGGCTTCCGGACGTGCGTCGTGAGAATTTCCACTAATTCACTCATAATAACACAAATTAATGTTATTCTCTCATTTATTATGTCATTATAACACTTTTCAAGTTGTTATTTGAACTATTACTTAGTTTATTTCGGTGTTAGACGCGGAAATACTAGATTAACAGACATTACCGTTTTTATAGCGTTGTTAACTAAAGTTAGTATTTTGTTAAATAATATTGTTCAGTTATTAGGAGAATGCTTTAACAACATTTAGCTTGAAGATAGAGTTAACATTTTGTCTAAATTAATTTTAAATATAGTTAAATGCCATCTAGTGGCATCATTGTGAAACATTGCAAAATCAGAAGAAGCCTTTGAGGCAATAGATTCTGGCCCGAGGCTAGATTGTAAACGTGGTTTTATGACAAACTCACAGATGTCGCTTTTACCATTCTCGAATACGAAACTGATTTAATGTTTGTTTATCCATCATGTTGTATATTATTAAAGGTTTTTCTTAACTTATTGATTATGTGATCGCAAATACCATTTTCAGATTCGTATCCTGGGTCACGCAAGGTATTATTCATAAAGGTTTGTATCATAGACCAGCCTAGTGCTTAAACATATTGTGTACTCCTGCAATATTCTCTCTACCTACCAATCCTATAAAAAATATTTAATCACTGATCAAAGATATTTAAATTACTTCTTATTCTATACTCATATTAACTTTCTTCTTTTCAGAAAGAACCTAAGTTTGCAGCCAGTAGACCGAGAAGAAGATGCCCACCTGTTCACTTACCGGGATGTGAATCGCACACACGTGTCTGTCGTGCTGGCTCAGAGTGTAGACGCACTGGTCGACAGTGATTCGCCGCAGAACGTCGTCAAGTTTCGACTGGGGTGCGACTTCGATGCTGGGGATGATTTGGTAAATAAACCTGTTTTAGAATTTTGTAATCTTTCCAGTTGAAAATTCGTTTTTAACGTGGGACATTTAATTATCTCTTTCGTAACATCGGATACGATATACATCGGATACGATACGGATACGATCACATGTGATAAAGACATCGAAAATACCTTACATCTTCTATCCAAAATTCAATATCTAATATAGGGTCCCCAACTCACTAGTGAGCTTCCAATTTCTAATTATTTAATAGTTTCATTGACAATTGAATACACCTTACTTAATCATAACATAAAATCTAACTTTTTATCCCCGAAGGGGTAGGCAGAGGTACACATTACGGCACTTAATGCCACTGTACAATATGTAATACCCACTTTTAACTATTTTATTTTATGAGCCCCATGTAAGTCTATTGCCATATACCGGGTATGATTCCAGACTTCTTGCAAGTACTGAGAATTTTTTTAAAACCCAGTAATACTTTGCGCGACCCAGGAATCGGACTAGATACCCCTTGGCCAGTCCCACAGGCAGGCAGTTTTACGTGATGAACTATTCTTTCAGAAATATAAAACATCAGAGACCAGTCAGTCAAATAGACCTAGCCTAAATTACTCAGATTCACAATCCCAACACATTTTCCCCATATTGCGCACATCCCGTATATTTAATTTCCTCATTTCGCCACAAAGGGGTTCCTCCAAAACATTTCACTTTATACAACAATATAAAGTAGGTCAGTAATGAGCCACATATGTGTGTGTGTGGCTCTTTGACTACATTTAATATCGCACTCGCTCGTCACTCCAAATTGTGGTGGAATATTTTATGAAAGCTAAGGTACACAATTTACACATTAATTTTAGAGTAACTAACAATAATTTTGTGGAACTTCAATTGTTACACTTCATGCTTAGAGAGTTGAAATTTATTTAAAACTAAAATTGAATAACTATTTTCTCACAAGGAAAGACAAACCATTCGTTTTCTTCAATACTTGTTTAGATTGTATTGTGGATATTTGAAGATAGACGTGCCTATTTTTGAATGCCGCTTTTTTAGGCTTTAAAGCAATTCAATATATAAAGTTAGTTCGAAACTGAATGATTCTTTTATAAACTATGTTTAAAACCAACTTCAACCCCCTCCTATTTTCAAGTCGGTTAAACCCGTATATCCCCAAGCTGTCACCGGTGACCGCTCTCCACTAACTACATTATAGAACTTATTTCCAATGTTTAGAGACTACTTTTGTATAAACAAGTTTAGGGGATGATTATCAACAAATTGCAACTTCACTAAAAGCTTCTCCTAAGCGTAACAAACACTGTACTGAAAATTGTATGAAAATGAGTTCAGCCAATCGTGAGATAATTGCGCACAAACATAACATACATATCTACAGACATGCATATGCATGTGCATATGCATGCAGGTCAAACTAAATACTTAATAACTCATTTTTTGAATTCGGTTAAAAACTAAATAACCTACATACTTTATTCGAACTACGGAATGAACCCGAGTCCTTTAAAGTTGTTTCTCACAATCCAAGGACAGCAAAAGAAGATTAAAAAGTTCGCAACTGAAATACGTACAACTCCACGACACAACAAGGTCACAAAGTTACAAGTTGAAGAAATAATTTTTCTCATTTCACAAAATTCAATTTTAATGAGACGTTAAAAGAGAAATTAATGGTGACTTACCCTGCTTTAAATTTAAATCCAAGCTTGCAAGGATTTTCGAAAGATTTGCAACCTTATTACAAAGTTAGACTTACAGCTGAAATAGACAAAATGGTTCTTATTGCGATGAGGTAAGGAATGTTTTGGGTGTATATTAAAAATGCCTATGGAACAATGCGGCTGGAAGTTGTCAGGGTTAAGCCAGTCACCTCCGATAGACGTTCGTCCTTCACCCAGTTGCCGACGGATCACTTCCCATACTCCTGATGGGATCCCACCCTCGGGATCGTGATCCGTGCTTAATTTAGCCATGGAGATAACATAACATTTTTCATCTTATTCCTCCATTTTAGGAAGTCTTCTGGGAGAGTTTAGAGCGTTTACTTAACTGTATCGAGTTAACATCGTGGTTAATGTTTGATGGGTACCTATTTGTTTCTATTGTACAAATGCCAATTTGTCAACATTCTGTCTCAGTCTTATTTACGACAGTATAGACGTGGACTTATTTACGAATGAGCTTGAATGAGTAAAACCATCCTTCTGAATGGCAAGAAAAAAAATATTATTATGAATGAAGTAAGATTACCTACATCAAAGCGTTACTTTTGTAACTTCATTTGATAATTCATATACAGCAGACCTTTTTATATCACGCAATAACCTCAGATTTCCTATAACTCGTTACAAAATATCCTCTGAACATGTATGAAACATTTTCCTGTGTTCAGTTCATTGACACTTCAACATGTTTCACGTTAACGATGTTAGATTGTAAAAACAAACGTAAAAATGTTCCTCTGTACTCTTTACGTGAAGGAACGTGAACCACTCGGAGATGTTTGTTTTGACATTGAATTGGTTTCCTTGAAATTTTTAAATATTTTTTATCTTTGGTATGGTTTTTATCTAAGGTACTTTAAATACTGAGTAAGGATTAATGGCATTGTTTCTTAATTCATTTAATGGAATAGGTACTTAAAAATAAAAAGGATCAACAGCATATACTTTTTTTAAAACTTGTAAAAAAATAATAAAAATATTTTCATAGAATTAAAAAAAAATGTAACCTGAATGAAATGCTTTAGCCGTTTGACTAGGAAATGAAACTTCATATTGCTGTATTTTAAGTAAGGGTTAAAAAATGCAACCAGACACAACACAATACTTTGTGGACCAAAAAGTATATGTAGTCGTCTCGTATGGAAATCATTCTCAAAATGTACAGCCTACTAAAATATATCAAACAATCATATACCTATATAACTACTAGCTGTTACCCGCGACTTCGTCCGCGTGAAATAACGACTTCTGTATAAATTGGGTTTTTTAAATTAGTCTTTGTCAAGGTATATTCTATGGCTGTACAACTGGAACAAATATCATCACAATCGATTCAGTACCTAGGTTATATTTATTGAGAAATGAATTTATTTTCGTGGTTTCTAAAATAAACAATCCCATAGAGGTTTTACCCGTACAGTGCCCGTCTCGTGAGGTTTCACTATTCTATGTTTGCAAATCAATGTTGTATCGCATTTCAATCAAATAGATATAGTGATTTTAACAGCACAGTTCCCGGTTTCGTGGGTTTTTCGGGTTAAAAACTTTTAGATGTCCTTTCCCGGGTCTCAAACTATCGCTGTACCGAATTTCACCAAATAGGTTCAATGGTTTAAAAGGTAAGAGCCCCTCTTTATTTCAACGTCCTTGGTCCTGGTTTTTTAGCGCATAGTTTCCGTCATTTTGGCATTTCCTCTCTCCTATAATGTGACCTGATATGTACCGGTGCGACGTGCGTTACTATCGCAAACATTTAAATGAAAAAATAGGTATTCTGATATTAGGTTAGTTACATATGATACATGTGCTTTAATGTTGATATTAATGTCCTCTATAAGACTTAATACATCCCTTGGCTCTATTGTCCATAATTTCCACAGCGTAATCAATACCAATAATATAAGGAGTTTTTTTGGTAGTTTTTCACACATCGGGTTGTCATTACCTAAAGGAGATTTTTTTTGAGGTCGGAAAATCATCCAATCACTTCTCCCGCCTTGGGTTAGGTGAGAGGGAGTGACAGATTCTTACACACTAAAATCCACTCCGTTCCTACTCCTGCTCGTCGAGCCGGAGCCCCGTCAACTCGTTAGGCCTCCCGCGGCACCGTATCGAGCATCAGCCCTACTGGGCTCCATCTATGATGGTGTCATGGCTCTGTAAGGCGCGCGCCGTATGCACGGGACTGGTTCTGGTCGGGTGGCGAGCTACCCTTGCTCTTCGTCTACAGACCCGCACTTATGGTGGCCGGTGGCCGGCCGATCTCCGACGCCCAGAGTGTCTCCCGCGACGGCTGGGGCGTGAGGAAGTTCATTCCCTTACACGCTCCGCTTTCTCCTTGGCAAGCATAACTGCTTCGCAGAAGGATGCGACTGCATCCCAATCCCCCTCGCTCCATGGCCTGAACCAAAGCCGAACGCGAGAGGTCACCGTTTCCTACATCCCTGAGAACACGGCGGTGCTCAGCCCATGTAAGGTACACCGCCACGGTATGCTCCACCGTGTTCTCCGGGCGGTCCTTGCATTGATGGCCTCTCTAAAGCCACTTTTAAAGAGGGGACTTTCCGCTGCAATGACAGCGAGCCCAGCCCTCGGTTACCTAAAGGATTGTTTTGCTGTGTCAGTGAGGTTACCGGAGGCCCAATTACCCCTCCCCCAGCCCCCCCAATCCCTGACAATCCTCAAATTACCAATTCCCAAAAGACCGGTAACGCACTTCTAGCACTTCTGGTGTTACAGGTGTCCACGGGCGGCGCAGATTGCTTACCATCAGGTGATCCGTCTGCTCGTTTACCGGCTTATGCCATAAACAAACAGCAAACTATCATAGTGAATTTGGCCTTGACGGTCTAAAATGAAAAGGACTAATATTATTTTTTAGCTATGTGCATTTAGCTAGTTTTTTGATATACATATAAAAATACGAATTCAAGTAAACTGAAAATATTTTATTCGTGGTTTTATTTCCTTAGACTGCTGTCAACCTCTTTGCATACCTTAATATTAATACCATAGTATAAAAAAAATCTATGACACATTGACTTTGTAAACTCACTTGTCACACAAATGTCAGATGACTTAAGAAATGTATACTAATAATATAAATTTGTATGTGCTTGTATGTTTGTTTGTCCGTATTTCACGACAGAACGGAGTCAGGAAGGTTTTTGATTTGAGATAGTTGAAAAGATGGAGAGTATCATAGGCTACTTTTTGTCTTTTTCTAACCCCCTTCCACTTCCGTGAAACAGAGGTGAAAGTTTGTATGGGGTATTTTGCAATTTTCAATGTGGAAAGCTAACAATTGGTATGCGGGTTATTTGTGACCAGCATAGAATCGTGCATCATTTCATTTTTTTATTGTAAATCCTTCCCTCACCCCATTAAAAGAACGCGAGAGAAGCCGCAGACAGAGGCTAGCCTATGAATAAATTGTATTCAGTCAATTGAATTCGTATTTTGTCTTTAAAATCCCTGATCTCTGATGCAGCTGAATACTAATATTATTCCTTGAAAACTCACAGAACTTTATTTTTATACGTTGATGCCAAAATATATTATGGAAGTAGGACGCCATAACAATTACAAATCATCAGGTTGGTTACCATAGTAATGTTACCTGTCAGATATCCGTTTTCAGGTTTTCAGATAAATGGTAATAATTATTCTTAAAAATCGACATAGTGAGTCGAAATTTCAAAAACGCTAGAACAATTTTTTTATATTTTTTATCAAGTGCTTAAATATAAAGTTTCATGGTTTTATCTTTAAAAATTATGAAATCCCATACAATTCCCCCCCCCCCTTTTAACCCCTTACAACCCCTTTTTCGCGATAAAAAGTAGCCTATGTTTTATCTCGGGGTCTAGAATATCTGTATACCAAATTTCATTCAAATCCGTTCAGTAGTTTTGGCGTGAAAGAGTAGCAGACAGACAGACAGACAGAGTTACTTTCGCATTTATAATATTAGTTAGGATATTAGTTAGGATAATACTTTATAAGCAAGATGTCTTCCTATGCCTCGCCGTAAGGTAGAAGCTGTTCACATCAGAATAACAAATGTACGCATCATACAACCTCTCAACGTGTTTTGTAAGACATAAATGTATAGAGTTACAAACAACTATATTCATACACGTGGCATATCAAATTGTTATACGAGTGGTTGAACTTTAATTCATATTGTCACTGATCCGGCTTTATACGGTTGAAAAAAAGATGTAAAATTACATTAATAACTTATTTTTACATAACATAAAAAGCATTAAGTGCCGTAATGTGCACCTCTGCCTACCCCTTCGGGGATAAAAGGCGTGATGTTATGTTATGTGTTATTATTAACTTAAAAAATTTAGTTTAGCACTTTCATTCAACCCATTTTTTGGAAACAAGGTGAAATAGGTAGGTAAAATATGCTATCAGATAACAGACTACTACACAAAAAATCGTGGTTTCTATTCTTGGATTTGGGATTTGATCAAAACTTATAGGCTCTTTCCACAATAAATATACTAACATAATAATTACTATATTTTAATGGTACCTTGGTGTATTTTGATTTTTATTAATAAATTTAAAAATTATCATTGTATCATTCCAGATATCAGCCTATCTGTCAGTGACAGTCTACATAGAGGATGTGAACGACAACGTGCCGAAGTTCCTCGACACACCGTATCACGTCGCCGTGGATGAACTGACACCAACAGGTGGGTACCATTTAACCAAAGAAATGTTATCTACTTGAGAGGTTAAAGTACCACTACAAATGATAGCATGTCACATGGATACACATCAACCTATACAAAACCAGTATAAACTGACCGTCCAATGTGCAGAAAGATCATATAAACTGAGACCTTGATAAACTGGTTTTTGTACTTCGATGTTATGTGTGGAACTAACTATAAAGGCAGTTGGAAAACTGTTCGCATTTGTTTTGTAGAAGATTGTTTCGTCTGAGTTGGTAAACATTTTATCTATAATGAAAAAGTTATCCAAGCACTTAATATTAATGACAGCGCCTGATCTATGTCTTAGGGCAAAGATGTCTCGATACCAATATGATAGCTTTGTGAACAAAAGTCCTCGCGAACTGTCTCCACACAATATCCTCTTCAAAGGAAGTTTCTCCTGCAATATAAACAAAGGTCAAAGACATTGCTGTCTGTGGCCGTCCACCAAATATTATATTTTCTCATTGATCTTCAAGAAATTCAACAATTTTCTATCGACGCAACTATTTCAATAGACCGTCCGATGAATTTTTTAACGAGATGGTCAAAGGTTTTTAGAAAAATGTTTTCTGCGAAATTAATGTTGACGAAACATTTTCTAAATTTCTTCTTTACTTAAAATATGTTAAGCTATTTTTAGAATCACATTCTAGACCATATTAACGTCCAGAAAGAATGATGCCTCTAATATAATTTTGTGAGTGCTAAATTAGTACTTTAATCTTTCAGGCCTAACTATCTTCAAAGGGATCCACGCCTTCGACCGTGACAAGCCGAACACTCCAAACTCTGATGTCCAGTACAGCATCATCTCAGGAGATCCAGACAGTCACTTCGCTCTGGAGTCCTCTCATAAACCAGTCCTCATACTGAAGAAGCCTCTGGATTACGATGCTGGAGATAAAGACTTCTCGTTGGTGGTTACTGCTTCGGTAAGTTACATTTCCTATTAGAATCATCATCATCAGCCTATAAGTAGTTACTGCTGAATAAAGATCTCTTTTCACACCGAGACGGCATACCATGAATGAGACAATGAACCTTGCTGCTGATTTAGGACCATCAAGCTAGCGTAAAATTTAGTGTAAGCGTCTAAATGTCATTCATTAACAGAGTACGAGGAAGCTAATTAGTGTTTAATGAAATAAACAAAATCTATTATTGTCTTAAATGTAATTAGATCGTAAAATAAGAGCTACTTGAAAATATCTTATAAAGAGAATTTCAATTTTAGTGTGTAATAAAACTCTAATTTGATACACTTGATACTAATCTGCCTGAAATCCAAGCTAAAATTAAAAGTAAAGACATTCACTAATTTGTTTTTATAATGTTTCAGGATCGTGGATCTCCACCCCGAAGCTCCAATGCGACAGTTCACATTGTGGTGCAAGACAATGATGACCTGCCTCCCAAGTTTACTGCTGACGTCTACCGGACACAAATACCAGAGTTCTATCCTTTACTTGTGAGTAACAGACTGAAAGAACTATTAGTCTAAAACCTTTTCATTTAAGGTACAAAAAAGGGATTTACTTTCATTTAAATAATAATTTAACATCAAATACATATGAAAGAAACAAGAACATTTTAACGAGAAATATTATTTCTGTAAATTTAAACTGAAAATCGTAAAAATGAACATCGATAATTGTCAATTTAGCAAGACGTCGAGCTAATAAAACTTTTTATTCAGATAGACAGTACTTTAGTTCTTGACACTTGAACTTTAAGTCTTTTATTGTTTAACCCTTTTTTATTTCAATCACTTTTTAAGATTGTTTCTTGTAAAATATTACATACATGGGTTGATGTAAGCATCAACAAAATCGGCCGACTTAAACAAATTAAGCCAGTAATCTCACCGAACCCAGGTGATAAAAAGGGTTGACCCTAATTGGGGACTAACTCTGATTGGCAGATACGTGAAATTGAAACATTGCGGTCAAAGTTGAGATAAAGAATATAAATAACAAGAGACTAAATTATTTTTTTCTTTAAAAGATTTTTTGTTGAATTCTAGGGTAAGCGCATACATAAGGAGCTATTGTTCCCGGAACCAATCAAGGCATTTGATCAAGATATTGGAGTAAATGCTGCTCTGAAGTATGAGCTGGTAGCTGGCAATGAGAGAAAACTATTCTCTTTGGACTCTCGAAATGGCACTTTGTTCCTTGAAAAAGAAATTGATTTGGATGCTGAGTCTAATTTACCAGGTATTCAACTTTACAATTCAAATTTAATCAGCACTAGTGATTGTTGTATCTCTAGTGCTGGTTGAATGAATGAATGATGTATTAATGACTTATATTAATTTCGGACTTTCAGGCAATACGTTCGTGCTCCAAGTGCAAACATCGCAATTGGATAATCCATTGAAAACAGCTCAGGCAAGGGTCGAAATAGAATTACTGGATTTAAATGACAATCTTCCAGAGTTTGAAGTAGACTTCTACAATATTAGTATTGTAGAGAATTTACCAAATGGTAAGATTTTCATTGTTCTAAAGTCTATAGAACTTGATACTTACGATAAATATCTAAGTAATGTCTTCTAATCTAATATGTGTTGATTCTAGGCTTCAGTGTACTGCAAGTGATGGCGGCTGACAAAGACCAGGGAGACAATGGAGAATTTACGTATCAGTTAAAAGACCCGGAAGGTGCTTTCACCATTGACCCTAGAACTGGATGGCTTACTGTCAGAAATCAGGTGCATATTATTTGTTTCTATTTAGGACACATTTACATACATAACTGGATTCTAAGTTAAATAAAATATTTTTTAAATTCCTTACTTCCAGACAATCCTGGACAGAGAACAACATTCTTCACTGAAAATGAAAGTTTACGCTAAAGAAAAGAATCCAAGTGTGGTCGGTACCTTCTTAGATAAGAATCGGATATCTAAATGGCGTCGAACTCCTACTACACCTAGGACACCACTGAAAGATAGAACAACATATATTTTCCCTGATAAGTTAGGTACTAAAAGTGAAAATATGGAATACGTCGACGAACAGCTAATGTCCTACGTCAACGTTGAAGTCACACTCCTAGACGCTAATGATAACAACCCAGTTTTTATACCAAGTAATTTGTACGAATTCACAATTAAATCAAATGCTAAAATTGGTACATCTATTGGTAAAGTGAAAGCTGTAGATCCTGACTTAGGAAGGAATGGACTGGTGTTATATGATTTACAAAGAACAAGTAATTTAACTATCACATCGCCGTTCCAAATTGATGCTAAGACCGGTGTTGTAAGTGTTGCTGAGTCACCTATAGTTGAAGGGAGACATGCTTTGTTCATTGAGGCTTCAGACCAACCGGCAAATCCTAGTGAGAGAAGATATTCTTTAGCTGTTGTTACTATTGATGTGACCAGTCCTAGCAAAGGTATGTGGGTTACAGAAGTAAACTCATAGCGTGCTACTATTAATCAGTTTTAAAAAAAACATTCTTACAATTTATTTATCTTTTCACAGGTTCTAAAGCGGACAAGCCAGGGTTCATCGGTTCTCCATACGAATTCTGGGTTGGAGCTAATGTTGGAATTGGAACTAGTGTTGGTCAAATTAGAATCAATGACGCAATGGAAAAGAGTGATGTCTCTTACGATCTACTTCATAGTTACGAAGAAGGAGGTTAGTAAAATCCGACCATGTATTTGATGATGATTTAATGTTTTTAAACAAATGAAGTTTAGATAATAATAATTACTATGTTTATAAATATTGCAGTGCCATTTGCTGTGGAAGAAAGATCAGGAGTAATAACAGTGGTTGATGAACTTACAAAATACAATAGACCTATGTACGATTTTGAAGCTGTAGCAATTCAAGAAAGCGCAAACATCAGTATTACTACAAACGCAACGGTCCACGTGGTTGATGTGAATGATGAAAGAGGCGTACTGTTGAAGTAATATAAAACGTTAACTATGTGTAAAACATAATTTTAGTGTATCGACAGTTTTATACTAAATTTTTTTTATATGTTACAGAGGTGCACATTCACCATTAGAATTTTATGTTAAAGAAAATGTCGCAGGCGCAACAGTAGGTCAAATATTTCCAATTAATATTTCTACACTGCACGTTAATAACACAGGAAATATACGGTTCATAATCGCTAATCAGCAAGATGTAACCGATGATATCGCGATAGGTAAGATATTTAAATACCACATCTTAGAGGTATATTTTATTACTTTTTAAATTATAATTAATACAATAATATTCATCTTGATTTTGCAGGACAAGACGGTACCATTTTCGCTCAGAAACCTTTAGACAGAGAAAAACGGGACACGTACCGAATGACAGTGATCGCTGAATTTACTAAAGGTGTGATATCTGGAGCTGGCATATATCAAGTTACGATACATGTTGAAGATGAAAATGATAACCCGCCGATATTTGAATATCCCATGTACGAGGGATTCATTGCCGAAAATTCACCCAAAGATACTGAGGTTAAAATGACAAATAAAATAATAGCTAAAGATGCTGACTTAGGACCAAATGCATCATTCACATACACTCTATTTGGTGATGGACGTGAAATGTTCCACGTTGATGAAAACACTGGAGTGGTAACATTTATAGGAAATAGATTAGATAGAGAAGAGAAAAGTTCCTACTTATTAAAGATTATTGCAAGAGACAGAGGAAGACTTAGTTCAGAAGCGAAACTAACAATAACATTATTAGATGAAAATGATAATATTCCTAAATTTAACCAAATTGTTATACCTTTGGGAGAAAATATAGAACTTCTTGAATCAGATGAAAAGGCACCAGTAAAAATATACCGTGAACGGAAAAATAACTCTACTTCAGGTATATCAAACTCGGAAGCAAAACCGAAAAATAAATTCGCCTTGAGCACAGAGGCAACTGGACCACTGTTTATGGTACCAGAAAATGTTGCTATTGGTTCAACCATATTAAAAGTTACTGCCATAGATATGGACATTGGCATTAACGGTCAAGTGAGATATGAGTTTGTTTCCGAAGTTTTTATTCCTCCTCATAGTATGTCTTCGAAAGGCATGCAGGTAAAACGATATTTTGTCATCAACGAAAGACATGGGCATGTAATTATTGCAAGAACATTACCACCTGAGGCAGAATTTAGACTAAACATTTCTGCAGTAGACGGCGGTGAATTGAGCGACCACATATCAATTAGATTCTTTATTAAAGATATAAATGATCACTTCCCAATGTTTAAAAAGTCCTGGTACAGCTTTAATGTAGAGGAAGCTCAGTACTCTAGAAGAGTTTTAGGAAAAGTTGACGCTACTGATGCTGACTTTGGCCAAAATGCCAACTTGACATATTCCATTCAACCCCAATCAAAAGACTTACCTTTTGAAATATCACCATTGACTGGAGTGTTTAGTGTTAATGGCGAATTAGATAGAGAAAAGGAAGACAAGTATGTGATAACTGTTGTAGCACAAGATAATGGTTATGATAAGAAACTTTCCTCCTCTGTCAGTGTCGAAGTACAAGTTTTAGATGTCAATGATAACGCTCCTAAATTTTATGCTTATGACGAGTTACTTGAGTGGAAACATCCTGAAGCTGATGAAATTTCAAATCATAACTTCGAATCAGTAATGATGATGCCAGTTTACAAAGCGATTCTGAAAGAGAATGCTCCTGTTGGAACAGTTGTTACAAAAGTTTTTGCCAATGATTCTGATTTTATTGGTAATGGCAATGGTCTCATTTTATACAGTCTACCTCAACGCAAAAATCAACTCAATCTTTTCGCTATTGATTCAAAAGAAGGTATAATTACAACAACGGGACGACTTGATTATGAAAGTCAGACAGTTCATAATGTTACAATTGTGGCTTCTGACTTGGGATCTCCAAGTTTGAGTTCTACAGCCATTTTAATGTTAACTGTAACTGACGTTCCTGATGATGTGGAAGTGTCAGATAAACCAGTATTTATTTCGAGGTACTATGAATTGGAAATCGAAGAGAATGTGCAAACGCCTGTTGAGATGGTTACGCTAAATTTAACAGAGCACTATGAGAACTTCAAAATGAAGTACTTCATTCTGAATGAAAATGATGAAGACGTGAAAAAGACTTTTGTGATTGACCCTAGAAACGGTACCTTGTACTTAGTGAGAAGTCCGGACAGAGAAGTAAGAGATGTGTATGAGATTGTAGTCAGAGCTGAAAGACAGAAGATTAGTAGAGAACTACCACATATGATATATCCTGTAGCTGATGATGTGATGGAAGGACTAACTAAGTATGACGTCAAGGTTATTGTTAGGATAAGGGATGTGAATGACAATGCTCCAAAGTTTACAAATGGAGGACGACCATTGGTCACAGCTATTCCAACTACTGCTCCATTTGGATACCAAGTTATACAGTTAAAGGTGAGTAAACAAAACTTTACTGCATTAACAAATTATTTGCTTCACGAAATTTTACTCAGCATTAACGTAATTTAATTTACATTTACATTTTACTGTCTCGAAACAATAATAAGCAACATTAATTCGTGCCCCAGGCGACGGATGCGGATGTTGGGATCAACGCGGACATCCGTTACCAGATCATAAACGAGCAAGCGCCACGATTTGCCATCGACCCGGTGTCGGGTCGGGTCCGTGTCGTGTCGGCTCTGACTCGTGATGCAGGCCGTGTATTCGGGTTTGATGTCAAGGCGACAGACAAACGTGGAGCTGATGATGGGAAGTCTGCTATTGCTAACGTTTTTGTAAGTATGAAAGTTTGAAACGCACGAATAAGTAATTAAGTACGTCGATTTTTATTTTAGTATTTATGTTGTAACTTTTGTTGAGAGTTAGGTAACTTTAAGCATTCATTTTTTAAAATTCTGATAAAATTAGGGGCCATTTAAACTATACATATAATTTTGATTTAGGTGTACGTGTTGGATGAAAATAAGCAACTGGTGCTGGTCGTTGGAGCTAAGCCCATGGAGGTGGAAAAAGAAGTAGAAAATATTACGAAGTCTTTGACCGCCATGACAGGATACGACATTAGAGTTAGAAGACTGGAAGCGCATAACAAGGCGTCTTTAGACGGATACGCGTACGTTGTTATTTTATTTGTAGTGTTTAACAATGCAGAAGGCCTCAATAATAAACGTGTAATGTTTTGTTGCCCTTTCCAGGACTGATTTATACATCTATGGAGTTGATCCACTGTCGAATGCTATCATTGATATGGAAGTGCTTCAAAAGTAAGTGTTAACCTTGTCTTATAAATACCACTACAGAAATCCATTTTGTATTTAAACTATCTTTAGTGACTGTTTTAAAAACTTAATAATGTACTTTAAACTTTACGTTAAAGAAGACAAAATTATTATTTATATGGATAGGTAGATATTAATAAATAAAAACTTTTTAGGTTCCATTTAAAAACCCACTCTTAAACTCAACAGGTCCCTAATGAAACGTGAGACGGACTTACGTCACGACCTGGCCGGGTTCCGTGTGCTAGAAGTAGGAGACACGGCCATGGTGCAGGCGAGGAGTGGTCGACTGCTCAGCACGATGGAGATCAGCGTGGTGGCTCTTGGGTGCATCGTCTTCATTGGAGCTTGTACCACTGCCGTCTGCATAATGTGTGTTAGGAGGAGTAGGAGGTAAGAAGAACAAAAATTCGTGAAAAATTTATATAGCACTACAACTTTTTCATAGTATTATGATAAATAAATATGTTGTAGTTTTATCTACACGCGAATACTTGGTTTGTTTAGAAAATAAGGAAAAAAATAACAAACTAAAATGTGAAATGATCACTGTTATTTTAGTTATGATTTCAGCACAAGTATTTACACATCAAATTTTTTTATCCGCTTTAAGATCCTTTTTTTTATAAACAGTTTCCCTGGAAGGGTGACCAAGTGACATTATTATAATTAATTCTTTTGTTTTGACGTTCAAAAGTGCCTCCCTGGTCCAATTGCAATAAATTATTTTGACTTTAACCCATATTAAAAATAATAGTTAGTATTATAATAAGTACATTTTAAAACTTCGTGTCTAACAAGCTGATGGTAAGCAATATGTTTCGCTTATCATTTTCAGAAGACACCACCACCACAGGCGAAAACATATGACCCACTACTTCATATGAGGCCTTTCTTGCATGTTGTAGAATTGTTGTATACTATATCTATTTTGTTAGAAAAAATAAAGAAATCTATCAAAGTTGTAGCGTTTCCTGGCACTTAACTTAGTTCTCTCCTTACTTGTAGTATTTTATTATTATAGTAAGTATATTTTTATGTTTAGTACGCCGCCGCTGTTTTTGGTATTTTTATTTCAACTTTTCGTGGCACTTGCTGTGTCAAAGTTTTAATACAAGCTGTGGTTGTAAAACTTCAAGTTTGTACGTACTAAAATTGAAGTACTTATGCACGTGTTGGGTTTCTATTTTAATAAAACTCAATAATACTGACATTGAGAACAGTTTTAACTTTCCGTTGATGAACATCGATGTTTGATTTCACTCAGAAATATGTTTTCAGTCATAAATTGCTCTCAAATAAATGATACGACTTAACTCCATTTGTTGAAGATAAAAATAAATCAGATTGGTTTTAAGACCTTGATTCAATTGATCAGTAATTAAGTAAATTTAAAAACCCAAGGAATAAATAGAAGACGATTCTGATTCTTCTGATTCGGACTATACCGTATAATTTGTATTTATTACAAAAGTCGTAATAACTAAACACATTACAAATACCAATCCCAGCGGCACCACCCACTTTAACCCACCACTCACTTCAAACTTTTGCCCTAACAGACGACACCAAAAACCATACTCCCAGCAACGACTTAACGCTTTCTCAACTGAGCACCTAACCAAATTCGGCGGCCTCTTCCCATCGGGCGGCAACCAGTGCCAGGAGTTGAACCAGTCCTACAGTGAGGCAGACTCCTACATCGACGTCATCAACCATAATGGCAAGAAGATCTGCCCTCATGGAAACACTGTTGAAGAGTTCGGGAAGGCACATCAGAAGTGTGTGAAGACGCAGTTCGGTGATGACCTGTTCAATCAGAAACATGAGAGAATGTGCATCAAGTTCAATCAGCGGCCATTGCAGAAGAGGTTTGTATAATTTATATTCTGCTAATTTTGATTTGACTGCACGATTGGTGTACTAGCTGGAGTGAGAAAGATATAGAGACTACTACGCAACGTGTGCTTCATGCCGGTTCGATTCCCGTACTGCTACCTATACCTACGTGTTGATTTACATATTGTTGTTCTGAATCCACATTAAGGTGCATGTAACTATATTTGGTAATGTTTGATAAGATAATATTCACCTTTCAGAAATATATCTACTGGTTCATAAAAGTTACAGGTCTAGTTCAACAGTTCAGCAATTTTGATTGACATCTTTTTGACTATTTCCTACCTTTCTTTGAAGATAGCTTGGTAGTATTATTACATTAGATTACATATTAGACATAATATATCATTATGTCAACAGGAACATTCAAAGGCCATGTTGGGATCTCCACAAATTGCTTTTTAGTCAATAACGGTCGACACAAAAATTGATGATAGGTAACTTATTTCTGAAAATTGACTTCAAACCTAATTTATATTTTGAGGTCCCAAACAGACTATCTAATAGCTCAGAGTATTGGGAATCGATTTAAATTAGAACTATTCTTCAAATAGGATTTCACTACTGAACTACTCATTATATGCAAATTGAGAACACAAGACATTGTTGTACAAGTTACAAAATTGCAGTAAAAAGGTTGTAGGAAAGTCTTTTAAATTTCTTTAATGAATGATTAAGCATTTTTAAAATAAACCTACTTGATTTTATTACAGAACTTTATAACAATAAAAAACAGCTTACAGTTTTCAAATAAAACTTAAATTCGACAGTTCCATCTGTATAAAGGAACGACAAACATTTTGAGTGAACAATGAGGATAACACATACCTACTTCAAATAAACAACAGAATACTGATGACCTTGAAACACTATCAAGTTCACAAAATAAATATTCGACCGTTTAGATAATTCTTAGAAGTTTTAGCACAAATACAGTTTACTCAGAACTTAGTGATTATTAACGAATTTTAACACAAACAAGTAACAATTATAAATATTCTGTTTCATGTGAAATCTTGAATCAATTTTGATGTTTTCCTTATAGACCGTAGACAACGAAGTTCTTACTAAATTTATTTTTCTGTGAATCGTACCCTATAAAGTATTAGTATCTTCTTTCTTCGAAATAGTATCCTCCACGTTTTTAATAAAGATTCCTTTTACTCATAATTGATCCGGATTAAAGCAAGAAAGACGATAATTCGCATTGTGAGATTTATGCTTAAACCAGTGAAGTTATCTATTTTTAACGTAGTAAACAATATAATAATGCTTAATTCAGAATTAAATTAAGCTTATCCTTACCTGATTCAACTTGGGAAATCAAGGTTTATCCAATAAAGCTACACATTAAGTTGTTACTAAATAAGAGGAACAAATACTTGTAAAATTTCAATTCCCAATTGACGTAAGGCCATTGTCCTTACAACGTGTATACTTTGTTCACTATATTAAATTATATTTCTTTATTTACTTTAGAGAATAATCTCTTTGTAAAAATAATGGCTTGTACTCCGGTCCGCTGACCATCAATCACTAAGAGTTGAAGGATCTTGGATTTTTTTGTTTGTTCAAATAAAACTTTTTATAAAAACGCTTCGTTGGCCAGTGACGTGAGAAAGTCCCTCAAACGATGACTTGATACAGTCTATCAATTTATTCGAAAGATAAATCTAATGTCAATTTATGAAATTCTGTAATATTTGGTTTATATTTGGCATTATTACTCCTTGTCTTTATATTTGGCAACCTTCGTGCGATAAGAAACAATCCTAGGGAAACAACACTACATAGTTCAAATACTATTTTTTTCCGTCAAAAACTTGATAATTTTTGTAATTATATTTTACCAACCCATTCACCATAGGCCTGAACTCTCAACATGGGTACAGGCGTACCTTGTTCCAGCTCCTTCCATACTAACACTCAACCGATTTACTAACACTGACAGCACATGAGCCACATCTAAAACACTTTACCGTATAGGAAGGGGCAGGATACATCGATAACGTCCGTGAATTCCAGTGGACAAGACTCGGGCATCGCGGAGGCTACCAGATGTCCCTGCGGCCAGTCCAGTCTCCACACATCCGAGGAAAGCAGTGGGTGGGTATCCTCTGAACACCTGGTTCCTGGCTATCGGTGAGGGATTTCTTAGGATACTAATCTTAACATTAAGATTTTAGAGTAATATTACTAAAAATGTCTTAGAAATCCAACTCATATTTAAATATTTTCCACTATTTCTCATGACATACCGTGGCAAACGAGCAAAAGGATCGCATTAGGGGATCCTTTGGTGGTCACTATGGTATCATTAGGAGAAGCACCCGCAACACCAGAGTAAATGCAAATGCTTTGCTGGCTCTTTAATGATTGGGGCCCTCAATCACTATTTATTTAGACAGCACTGACACTTAAAGTCTTCATTCCATAAAGTAAAAGCCATTTAAAACTCAACTCCAATTCCTAGGTGCAGTTACGAAGATTCCCTGAAATCTACACGCAACCCTGAAGGTCGAGGCAAGCCGTACCAGTTGGACCATGAGCCTCGGTTCCTGAGGCGAGCATCATTCACTCACCAGCCTTTAGACTCCCGGCAGTTCAATTTCAGACGCCAATCTTTCTCAGAAAACATGCAGAGGCACTTCCCCCCTTTTGACAGAATCGGTTCAGGAGCGAGGATCACCAGACAGATTTCTACTCCAAATGTATCCAATGCCACACAATCTTACTTCTTAAGTGGTAAGAAGCGGTTGGAGACTAGGAGGAAAGAGGTTCTTAATGAGCCCATGATAGACTATGACCATAGTGAGGGAGAGGATGTTTTTGATACCTCGCACAGGATGGAGAGAAGGTCGAGTGCGAGGAATCATAAAAGAGGGAAGTTCATGGAGCTGGGAGGACAAGCAGCGGTGTTTGTAGCGACTCCTGCAGCAGCTGAGATCATGAGGAGGCAGGGTAGTGAGAGACTTATGTTCGCTAGACCGTTATAGTCGACGCCATTTTAAAATAATCTCTTAGTTTATGCCTGTAGGTTCTTAACCTCCAATTGAAAATTTTGATACAATACCTATATTATTCCTTGGTGGATGAAAGTTGAACAAAACTTTGATGAAAACATATTTATGATTTTAGATAATGGTTTATCCATCAATATGCTCAATTGTACAATATACTCATGATTATTCAGTTCAATATTGGTAAGCAGAAATTATGAATACCCTAAGAGTATCAAAATTAATATTAGTGATAGAATTGTGTAATACGTATGTACAATCATGATATAATATAATTATGATTGAGTGATAAAATGTATAAACAATCCTTAACTTATGAGTGTGCAATTTGTATTTATAAATTTGTAATTAAGTGTATATTTTATGTAAATACGTAAAGATAGAGTTTAGTAAATTTTTGGACATTTTTATATTTTCTTGCCTTCGTCAGCTTTACAATTTGGTGTGTCCAAAGAATACGTAGATTGATATTAAGTGCCATTTGGGAATGTCTCTACATTTGTAGAGTTTTGTGAATGTAGAGTTTGTTACTGTCTGTTAAGATTAATGTGTAACCACCTTATAACGATGTTACGTCGTGTTGCGAAAGTGACGATTTGTATTTTTGTAAATACTCGTAGGATGTAAGGAATAAATGATTGAAAAAATTACTTGCACAGTTTATTTTAAACATTAAGGTTAAATGATTAGGATGATTTTCGTGCACAATATCCAAAAATAGACATAGTGTAAGACTTAAATCCTTGAAAGAAGTAAGTTTATTCCACTAGCCAAGCGACGATTTTCCTTCAGCACTTTTCTGAGTGAAAACCACATCAATATGTAATGTCTGTCGATCCCAAATCACCGAAACAATCAATTCCACACTACGTACTATAAAAGTTTTTTCACGAGACCTATAAAACGGATGTTACCCTCTTACAAAATGTCAAAGTCCACAGATAGTCGACGAAAGCAGATTAAAATACACCAGCAGAGTACACTGATCTCCAGTCTTCAACCAAGATCAACCAGACAGAGGTCTACTTATAATGGTACCGTAGTTTGATAAGTACAATAGTCAGCAATATGTCAATACTTGTAGAAATATAACAAGTGTTCACTTTGTAAACGGATCCCCTTTGAAAAACATACGAAATATGTTGCCACATAAATAAAAACTCAGAAAACAAAAGAAAATGTATTGCTTGAATGTTATTGTAATACTTTGTGGGTAGGGTGACTGAGAATTGTACGGAAAATAAAAAAAAATATATTTTTTCGGAGAAAAAATATGTGTGGGCAAAATAAAACATTTTTGTTTAAATAATATAGCATAACATGGCCTAAAAGATATTTAAATAATATTATTATGAATGAAACCATTCTTATCCAATAGGTTTTTTTTTATTGTAACAATCAGTCAGATCCTCTATCTGTAGTCAGAGGAAACAAAAGATGCAGGTTCGTATTTTGACAATTTTTTTTTTTTTATAATTATAATTATAATTATGATTGTTTTAAAGTTTGATGTCAGGCTGTTGAAGAACAACAAACATTAGTTTTGTTGGGTAACCGATAACGATTTCTACAAAATATACTTCAAATTATTTTCAACTGAGCTCATCTACATTTTCGTGATTAAAAAGTAATTTATTGAAACAATCGTCGATACGTTCACGATGAAATCGAGTCAGAATGCAGTAAATAATTTCATTCGTTGAAAGACAAATAACTTGTTCCAAGTCAATTCATTATTAACTTATGCCAAGTCAACACATTTTGAAAATTGATAATGTTTTCATGGAATTAATAATTGATTACTATTATTAGATTAATATATTTTGAGAGCCTACTTTGTATCAGATTAAAGTTCAAATGTATTATTGTTATGAATTACTAGCGGCCCGTCCCGGCTTCGTACGGGGGGACTTAAGATTTTTTACATAGTTTTACGTTTTATTTATATTTATTCTCAGTTTTTTTTAGCGACTTGCCCTCCGTTGTCGATGTCGCGTCTTAAGGTAACCGATTGAACAATTCAAAAGTTATCTAGAGCAAACTTTTATAAGGATTGAACCATTCATTAAAACGATTGTTATGGGTAAACTATAAAAGGTAGACATATGCTCTCGCGGACTTTTTTAAAAATAATGTTAAGATAAACAATTCATCTATAGAACATTTTTGTATAACTTTAACTATATGCTCAGCGCACGCCACGGAAGGCCTCAGAAACGATACTTTTCCCCCGTTTTTAAAACATTTTTGGTTACTGCTCCACAACTATAGGACCTAGCGTGATATTATATAGCCTATGTTACTTCTGAATAATGCAGCTTTCGAATGGTGAAAAAATTATTGCAATCGGTTCAGTAGTTTTTGAGTTTATTCATTACAAACATACAAAAATACAAAAATACAAATCTTTCCTCTTTAATATTAGTATAGATGAACAAAAGCACATTTACGATAAATATATTTTTATTTATTGTATACTATTAGCAAACAAACGTGTTTATTTATTTATTAAGAGTTACCAATATTTAATTACACAACTACAGTAAATACAAGAGTAAGTGTAACAAACAATTACACGTAACTACAACATTCACTGATGCAGATATGTGTAGAAACGTAGTTACAGCAACCTTTCAAAAAAGCATAATTATAATTAACATTTCAACACCAGTTTGACTTAGTAACGTCAGTTCAAAAATTTTACATTCAAAATAGGTGACGTTGAACGTAATTAATCTATGTCTAGAAGTTAATCCCGGTTCAAAGTTAGGCCGGAACATCCCGTCGTGTGGTCACCCCAGTCCATTCATACTTGCGCCCAGATGGGGCAACGAACTTGTTATTTTATTTGGACTTGCGACTTTAATGCGAGTTTATAGTGTCAGTTACAGGGTATTTTTAGAATGACGGATTGATGTCGACTTATTGTTTATTTTAAATTAGATTTTAACACTTTAGAAGTGAAGATGAGTGTTGTTTCATTGCCTTATATAGTGGAAACGTTAAGTGTAAGATTCCAGCGAATTAAACTTAATAAAACTTAGGTCTATAAGATATAAATAGTGGATAGCTGTATAATATTAGTGTTAATCAAGTTATGTGCACAATATTTGGAAAAGTAAATACTAAAATATCGTAAATATTTTTCAAAATGGACAAAATCAGGCTCACCCAGTGTAATTGCTGTCAAATCTTGTATATAAAACTATTAATTTGTCATATGAATATTAAGATCAATATTTCAAACGGGGAAAACAAACTTCAAACCGTTAAAGGACTCTGGAGTACGAATTGAGAGGAATATTGTAAGTATTTTAAAATTATACCCCATTTATTTAAACTTTAAATTAATCCCCAGATTTCAGTTGACATACATTTCAAACTCCCTTTCAAGACTTAACAATAGTCTGCTTTACCTAGGACTAGTATAAAACTAGGCCAATTAGTCATTATTTTGACTCCTAGACTAGATAGTTCTAGTTGTACCTGTTATTGTTACTGAAACTATAGCAACCAGCAACTTGTCTGAAATAACTTGACTCTCTGACATTTAAAGTTTGTCTGTTTGTCTAACATAGTTTCAGTTTATAATGATTTAGTTAGGAAATATTTGCAATTTAAAATTAATTAAAACAAGTGATTTATGAATACTAACGGGATTGTGGTTCACAGAACATAAGTACCATGCTATGTTACCTATAAGAACTTCAAGATGCATTCAGACCAATATACTATTAAACATACAAAAATAAAGCATAAAGCCTCGAACTGTAAGATTAAGGAAAGTATGAGAATGAAATGCAGAGGCATTTTGTTCATGATGGCCTTTCTGATGCAGAAAAACTTTTGTTAACTTCAGCGCTTAGTAAAAAGAGAGAAATTTGCTTGCGATGGAACATGGCCTACTTAGATATAAAGTTGCGTCAATGTCGAAATGTTCAAGGACATGGAATATTCAAAATAGTGTGAGATAATGTCTATTTTTCCCTCAAGATATAATGCTGCTGCCATAAGTAGATAAACAACGAGTGGTACTTGTCTTGACTTACATTTAGATCAGCTAAAGGTTTGATCTATTTGCTAATTAACTCGTCGAGTACCGGTTTTATAGACACAATTAAAGAACAATAGGTCGCGGTCACCGGTGACCGCTTGGTGTTTGACAGATTAAGACTAAAATATTTAATAATTGAGACTAAAATATTTGATCAGAACTACCAGAAGGTACTGTAACAATACATGGCAGCTGCCACAAGTCTATTTATCACATCAGCCTAATAGTGGCCACTGTTGACCAAAGGCCTCTTCTTACACGGAGAAAGTTTGAGCATTAATCACCAAGCTTGCTCAAAGTGGGATGGCGATTTCAAACTTATAATTAAAAATTATAAGTCCAGGTTTCATCACGATTTTTTCCTTCACCTGTTGTCAGTGGCGTCTAAATAATCTTATAAAATCTATAAAATCGTAGGAAAGTGAAAATTGTACATCGATATTTTTTTAAAGAACGCTTTAAGCGTGATCTACAGTCGATACCGAAACAAAAAATATGGTTTTTAGATTTATTGTGTTTGTCTGTATGTATGTCCAGGATGAACTCAAAAACTGCTGCATGGATTTACTTAAAATTTTTCATGAATATGACTAACAGGTCGGGTCAACATTATAGGCCACATATTATCATGCTATCAACTACAGGGGAAGAGAGGAGCTGTGAATTAATATTCCACGCGGACGAAGTCGCGGGCTCAGCTAGTATGTACATAGGTAATATAACTAGGAAAATGTCACATTGGTAGGTACTTGGTCACTTTAAAACTATACAAATCACAGAGGTCACACCCGGACACCTAAAAGAGAGATTAATAAATAATTTGTCTAGTCGCCGAGTGAATCTGGTTATGACAAGCAGGTCCCTCACAATAGTTTAAAGGAAAATGGCTTTTTCAAAATAATACCAGCATTGAGTATTGTGT